CATTTATAATAAAATTTATCCCTTCGGATAATGACATATTTGCTCTTCCGGAGCCTTTAAATTATGTCACTTCAAATAATAATATATCGACTTTTCTATAGCCTTTAAAAGTTATATCTTTGAGTAATAATATATCCACTCTTCTAGAGTTTCAAAAATTTATCTCTTCGAGTCATAACATATTCGCTCTTTTAGAGCCTTTAAAATTTATCTTTTTAGATAATAATATCGTCGTTTTTCTAGAGCTTTTTATTAGATTGATATTATCATATATAATATTAACATAAAATAAATAATCAAATAAATCAATACAAAATAAATAAATATATATATTCCTCATAAACATAAACAAATAAATAAATAATAAAATAAATTTATAACCATCACTATACAATAACAAATTACAAGAAATATAAAATATTTTATTTATAAATAGAAAAACTAACAAGTAATTAACGTCAATTACTATTATTTTGATATATAAAAGTGACCTTCATATTTTATTCTTTATTTTTCAATAAGGCTTGCCAAGGCTCAATGAGGTACTTTGGTGTACGACATGTATATGACCAATGTCCATTCATACCATATCTATAACATTCATTTTTAGAATGCCGACTTTATATATTTTTTTTATTATTTTTTTCATAGTTATCCACTTATGGTGGTGAGATGTGATATTATGGTCATCACGATTATAATGATAATTATTTCGACCACGTCCATGGCTATGATCGAGCTTCTTCTATGCTTAAAATTATTATAAATTATCACATTCATTTCGGGAAATGGAGTATATCCAATTGGTCAAGATTTATTCTTTTTCATCAATAGCTTGTCATTTTATTTAGCCATGAGCAAATATGAAATCAGCTCGAATATTTGTTAAACTCTTTTTTTTTATATGCTACTACGGGATCAAGCACTCATAATCAATAATTCTTGTCTAAAATGTCAAGGGCCACAAAATCAAGTTTTGTGATAGTTGATATGATATCATTAAAATTGTATATTACAAAGTATAATAATAATGTTAGAAAATAAAGACAAAATTTAATAATAAAATTTAAATAAAAACAAACATGATAATAAAATTTGAACTTTTCAAATAATATATATTAAACTATTAGATTCTATATATTAAAACATTAAAATTTTTCAAATGTATATTCTATGTATTATTAAATTTAAAATAGATAATAAATTAGATACATACCTCTTAGTGATCTAAATAATAATTTAGATCTAATTGATGAGCACTTGTGCAAAAAAAATCCAATGGTTGAAACAATTGATTAAGTGTTTTGATAGGTACATACCTCATAATTTATTTTCTTAATTGGTTAGAGCTTCATGCCGATAACGTGTTATAAAATAAATGTAAATAATAGAAGAATTGAAAAAAAGGATAACAAGAAAATAAAATCACTATAATGTGAATACAAGTGATAAGAACTTCAAAGTTTTCCTTATTCTTTCTAGAAAACTTATATACAAACTAATGAATAATCAAGCCTATTTATAGGCTTCAAATTTGAGAAAAGGATTGAAAATGATTATGAATAATCAATTGCATCACCCTTTTAATTTCTCATATTGAATGATGAATTGAATCATATTAAGAATCATGAGTAGTGAGGATATGAAAAGTAGATGAACATGATGATGGACATTCATTATTTCATAACACATACTAAATAATTATGAAAGTTGATATGGAAAAATGAATTTGTAAATGAGAAAACAATTTAATCCATTACTACCGAGAAAATGTAAAACAAAATTAAAGGTTTAAAAGAAAACAAATTAATGACAACACGGTGAGTAATTATCAAGATTCTCACAAGAAAAACCATTACCACACTCAAATATAAAATTTCATAAAAGTGAGCATGCTAGTATTTCCAACTAAAAACTCTCGGGCATTGTAAAGGGTGTTTTTCGGAAAATCATTAGTTATAGGATCAAAGTGAAAAATCCTAATATTAGCTTATCCAAATGGTTACAAACACTAATTTCCCCCATAATTCATTAAGAAATCATTGGTGTTATCATACTCCACTAAAGCTTAATTGGAGATTTTTTTTGCACTATAGGGTGGCTAAATTTGCACCATTTACTTTACTTTCCAAATAAGAACGAGATAATTTCTTGAAAGTTGATCTTTTATGTTACAAATTCAACTAGAAAGTTTAATATAGATAGTTGATAAATGTCCTCATAATTAAGGATAAAATGTTCTAAGCACTTTTAAACTCTAAGTCATTTGAGATTGAATCTTTCAACTTTTTTGTTAATTTTGAGAGTTTTTAAATTTAATCAATTCGTAATTTTCTATCATTTATATAAAAAAATTTCAATCATATAAATATTTTTATGATAAAAATCATTCAATAAGATTTTATATGAGAATCCTAAAAAACTTAGAATCATTTCGTAGTTATTTTTTTTTCGATTTTCTATATTTTTAATGTAAAAAAAACAAAAACAAATATCGTTTCTAATTTTGAAAAAATCTAGAACTTTTCTACAAAATGGATTGAATTTTTTTCAACGTGTGTGAAAAATTTCAGCTTAAAGCACCTACAAAATGGATTTATGTGGGACTCCTAAAAAATTTAGGATCATTTTAGAAATTTTTTATATTTCCTACTTTTCGATATTTTTAATGATCAAAAGATAAACTAATATAGTTTTAATTTTGAAAAAATACGGAACTTTTCTACAAAATGAATTGAATTTTTTTCAACATGCAAAAAATTTTAGCTCAAAGTATATAGAGAATTGATTTTTTTTTAGAAAAGAAGATGATAGCTGAAAATCATTGGATGAACTAAATCTAAAAAAAATAAATAAAAGAATCATAGATCACCAAAACTACTAACAAAGTTGAATAATTCAACTTCAAATGATATAAAATTCATTGACAATTATATTTTTTTCTTCTTATTCGAGATATTATGTGAATAAATCCACTAAGAAATCTAACAAGCTAAAAAAAAAAAAAGATTCGATACAAATAAATAAATAAACTAAAAGAAGTAATCAACATAGAAATGATTTTCCAATGTTGAATACCTCATTCAAGAATTGTTTTTGATCCAATCCATAGGAATCAATAAAAAAGGCAAATCCCTTATGATACATTAGATCTAGTTCGGCTATTGATATAGTGAATAGATCTCGTCATTTCTTGAAATCTCTCTTCGAATCAAAATCATGATGTAACGTGTATCCTCCTCGTTTTGATCATGGAATAGAGTTAAAATTCCATTATAAAGATCCAATAAAAAAGAAAAGATAAAAAAAATGATTTTTGTTTTTTAATAGTTCGGTGAAATGGAAGTTGAACTTCCTTTTGGTTCTCCTCGAAAAGGGCTTTCACTTTTTAAACCCATCTTTTAAAAACTAAAAAAAAGAAGAAGGGATAATTACCATAAAACCCTCTAAAAAAATCTTATATCCAAAAAACCAATCAATTTATTCTTAAATCTCTCAAAACCAAAATAATATTTTTCTTACTAAAATACCTAATAGTTAACCTCTAACTTAACATTAGTTAATAATTGGGTCTTTTGGTAAGAAAGTTTTTCTATTTTTAGTTTTGAGAGATTTAAAAAATAAATTGATGAATTTTTTAGATAGAAATTTTTTTTAGAGTTTTTTTTAGAGTTTTTAACTAATAATAAACTCATTTCATAGTTTTTAATAAGTTTGATATTTATTTATTTATTTATGATCAAATCAAGTTCGTTTTTATTGCATTCGAAAGAAAAAAAAGTTTTTGAGTTTCCTTGACTTTTAAACATTAACATTCGACTATTTTTTTATTATTATACTAAAAATTTTCTTATATTAGAGTTTTTTTTTAATCAACTCGTTTGTTTCATTAATTGTGAGATTAATTTTACTATCTAGTAACTATAGCAACCGAGATAATTTAACTAATTACTATTGATGAAATGAGACTCTTGTCATTCTCTAGTAATTTAATCAAAGGTTATCATATAAATAAGACAAATAAAATATGTATGATTACGAACATTAGTGATTTCTTAAATTCTAATATATTGATAGGAAAAAAAAAGCATCATCGGCAATACTAGTTTTTAATTAATCAAAACTCAATATTTTTTTATCAAACAATTAAATTAAATTACAAGATGAATGTATAACATATTTTAGTGCATTAATTAAATAAAACATGATCAACCATGATAGAAATACATATCTTGAAAGATAATGGTTTCATTTAAAGTAGGGATAATTACCAAAATACCTTCTAAAAAATCTACAATATAAAAAATTTGTTATTTTATTTTTAAATCTCCCGAACACAAAATAATATTTTTAAATCTTACAAGCCGAAAACAATATTTTTTTTAACCAAAACAATCAATAGTTAATACTAGCGTTAATTATTATGTGTTCTTGGTAAGAAAAATATTATTTTGGATTTGAGAGATTTAAAAATAAATTTATGGGTTTTTTAGATGGAAGATTTTCTTACAAGGTTTTTCTAGTAATTATCCAAAAAAAAATTAGAAAGTTGAAAAAAAAGGTTTTCTAACTAACAATTTTAAAAGAGAAAAACCCACAATTAACCGAATTACAATTGTTCCAAAGAAAAATAAAAAATAGACTAAATTCATAGCCATTCTGCTCTCTAGTCTCTACTTTGTGAAAAGGCATTAAGAATAAAAAATAACAGAAGGAAACATTTGGGCTTTGCACCATTTGTACTTCGGTATTTCATTTCCCAAAAATCATTAAACAAATCGCAACTTAAAACAATCGGAGAACAATAAATTCATGCTTATTTGAACATTAATGCTTCCAAATAAAATTTCCCAAATTACAAAAGCAGAACAATATGTTCTGCACTTTCATAGCTCCCCCAGCCAATTCAATGACAGAAACAAAGAATCTTCTGCCATCAAAGTAAATCACATCAAAAGTATCAAAATCCCAAAACCCATTTTGAATCGAATCCAATCCAATCAATTACACAAAATAACCCTTGTCAACCCCAGCACAATACAAGACACACTAAAGAAAAACAAAGAAACAAAATCCCTAGCAGACCATTTCCTTACAACCTTAGTTTCAACTCTCAAACTCTTGGCCCTTCTAAGTGCATCAACTTCTTTCAACAGATCAAATTCCACTCCTTTCTTCTTCAACTCCTCAACACACCTAGCCAACAACTGCCCGTCTTCCTTTTCCCTCTCGAACAACTTTTCTAAATGACATTCAACATCAGTTTTATACCTAACAGCCCAAATTATCCCCAAAGAACATAGAAGTGAACACAATGAAGGGATCCATGATCTCTTGCAAGATTCGGACCCTTTAGCTCCAAATGGGTCTTTAGAGGATGCGTTGAAGAGGAGAAGCAAAGCAATGGAGTGGAAAAGGAAGAAGAATATGTAAAGCTGAGTGATTTCTTTACGGACCGAGTCGATTTGTGTTTCTTTTAGAGAGATTCTGTTGAGGATTAGTTCTTCTTCTTTTAGCCATTGTTTTAAAAGAAGCTTGTGTGTTGGTGTTTCTGCTATTTGGTGAAGTGGGTGTTGCTGCTTTGGCTCCATTATTGATGAGTTTGCGGTTTGATCTGCCATGAATCTGTATTTGTAGAGAGAGAGACAGAGAGAGAGAGAGAGAGAGAGATTTGGGGAGGCTTTGAGAGAGATACAGTAACGGTGGCTTTGATTTTGAAACGGTAGGTTTTTGAGGTTTTTCAATGCAACGGTCGAATTGGGAAAGTTTTTGAATATTTCTATATTGACAAGAATGCCCTTGGTCGGTGATTTAAGTGTAAGAGCGTGGCACGGTTTTGCAACGGTTAATTTTAAGATGTGACTATGCGAAATGACGGGTTTGTCTTGCAAAACTTGTAACGGTCTTCTAACAATATGAAATCTTTTTTTTGCCCTTTTCCTTCTTTTCTTTTCTATTAATCAGGTTTGCCACGTGGAACTGCAAAACAATCAATCACAATTAAAAAAAAGGTAATAGCATTCAATATAATAATTTTATACGTTATTTAAATGGCAAATAAATCACATTCATCACCTGCCATCAAGGTAGTATGATTTGAATAAATATCTAAGATATGTTGTCTCAAGAGATTGCCTTGGACCATAAGATTTTTTTAGGAAAAAAAAAACATAGAGTGATTATCATTTCTATGAGCAACTGTGTTAAGGAGAATTATTTACTAGTTGATTTATTTGAATTAGAAAACAATTTGACCATTTTAATAAAATTCCGAGTGGTGATAATAATGAAAGGAGTTATTACAACACCATTTTTTTTCGGTAACAAGAAATGTTAAAAATACATAGAGAAACTGTATAACAAAAAATAATGGTCTCACCACCATTATGTTAGTGGGTCTTGAAACGTTGTTAGTTGACCATTTTCACGAGCTGCAATTATTAAGAAAGATCATTTGTTTTGTCGAATTGGTTTTTGATTAATCAAATTTCTAAGAATAAAAATAGAATCCAAACTGAATTACTATTGGGCTTTCGATTTAAAAAATGAAATTTTTGCTTTTTATTTTTATGATTTTTTTTCACTTTTTAAATATAATATAAATAGATAAAAAACACTATTAATCCGTCACATTTTTGTAATAATATAAGGGATTTGTTTCTATTTATTTATTTGCATTATTTTAAACCTTAAAAAATAAAAAATAAAATCAAGATATTTTTTTAAAAAAAATTGATTTTTAATTGAAATCGAACTACCGAAATTTTAAAAATTGAACCAAATTGAAAAATCAAAATAAATCGGTTAAGGTTTTTATTTAATTAATTTTGAGTTAAAAAGCAAATTGATATTGATATTTTTAATTGATATAGTTAAAATCAAATTATGCTTATCCTTAGCAATCACTTGGAGGTGGAATAAGATAATATGGTATCAAACAATCATCTCAAAATAAAATTTTAAGTTATTGGACAAGATTTCAAGAATAATTTTACATTACTTCTTAACATGCCTTTTAAGTAAAACCTATTTAGACTTGAAATTTATTTAGATTCATCGTTACTTTGTGTTTAATTATTTAATTTTAATAAAAGAAAGGAAAAAGCTTGCAGAAACTCACTACTATCTTGTGTTTAATTACTTAATAGAAATAGATAATGAGATTCAAACTCGTAATTGTTTGGTTATCAAAACTCGATATTATATCAAATAGTTATTTTCATCTAAAAATTTAAATTATTAAATGAGTGTACATGAATAATTTTATATTATTGTCTAACCTAAAAAAATCGTTAAGTTCATCGATATGATTACAACATCTCATCATCCTTACTTTAATTTGATCAAGGATATTCGTTAATTTCTTTCCAGCATTCCTCATTTTATGACTACACATGTTTTAAGGAAGGAAATCATTGTGCTAATTTTCTTACTCATCTGGGGTCTAGTTGAACCATCATGGATCAGATTTGGGATATTCTTTATTGAGTTTAAGAGATTTTCTTCAAACTAATATACTGGGTGTTGTGTTTTACAAGCAAGAGCTAGTTTTCTTTGCTTCTCTTTTGTTAATAAATAAATTAAGTAACAAGTCGGTTTAAATTTTCATCGAGTTTAATGGACTCATGCATCCTTCTCTCATAGCTTAAGAGTGATTCAAATGTAACACTTTGATTGCGTAGACCAATCTTATCATAGTTGAGGTTTGTATGCAATTTCCCAGCACCATATAAGAAAAGGGCTAATTTAAAAATTAATGTTGAATAAAAATCTCTTTTTTTTTCTTTTTTTTTGTTTGGGGGGGGGGGGGGTTGGGGGTGCAATCTTGCTCGGTGCCATTGCGTTGTGAATATATAACTTTTTAAATTAAAAGTTAATTTTAAAAACGACAATGGAAACTATCAACGGGTTTTCTTTAGTCTCCATACAAAATAATTTATCAGTTGAATCCTCTATCTAGTAGACTAATTATCCAATTATTATATGCTTAACAGAAAAAAAAATTTCCTTTAAATAGAGGACCTCTTATTCTTAAAACGACATAGTTTTTTGTATGTAAAAAATAACTTTGAATAGTGTTTGATAGATGAGAATTGTTTCTATTTAGAGACCCATTTAGGAATTGAGTTAAAGCATGAAAATGTCCATGTAATGTATCTATTTGGTTTACTATGTTTCCTTATTCTATTGTATTAGTTTTGTGTGTCTTTCATTTACATAACATTCTAACCATGGTTAGTATTAGATACACGATATTCACTTAGGTTGTCACGTGTTACAATTTGAATTTGAAATTTTTTCTTATTTTTTTATTTATTGTCAATTAATAAAAGGTTTACCCCACATTCTGACCATATATAGTTTTTTTTTTTTTTTTTATTGAGACCTTCTATAATTCTTTTAATTTGATTAAAACTCTATATTCTTGTAAATTTATTGATTCAAACCCTTTGTTATGACTTCGTTAGTCGTTCATCCAACATGACATATCAAAATTAACAATAACTAACCACGAATGGACACATGGCATAGTAGGCTCTAACTCTAATAGTATATGTTTGTAATTAAAAAAAAAAGTTAAAAAGGTTTTTCTATTAAACTAATATTTAGTATTTAAAAATAATTAGAAAAGATCACATTGCCCCATCTAATTACATTTGCCTAACTAATTTTTTTACATTTTGTCCAAACCAATTCTCTCTCCTTGTGAAAGCATAAATCCCAAAATCTTAAAAATAATTTTCTTCACAAATAGAATAAAAATTAATCCAGGTTGTCCAAACCTCCATCCTCATCCATAAATTAATCCACCGTTAGCTAGGCAATCAAGTTTAGAGATCATTTTTGTGGGATTTGATGGTGGTTGGGCAAAGGGTCTAAGTGTTGTTGGTGAGGGTTTATGTTTTAATGGGTGGCGACCGGAGTTTTAGTGGGTTTCAAGTTGAGAGAGGTGGCTAGGTGGCTAGAAGAGTGGATCGATAGGGAGTTATAGCTATGTGGTCGTGGCAAAGGCTTGGTGAGGTGTATGGCCGACAATGTAGGAGTTGTGACATTAAAGTGCGAGGTTATGGTGGCTAGAAGTTTCATTGGATTGACGAGGTGGCTAGAGCCGTGGATGGCGAGATCGGCGAGGAGTGGTTGGGCTCTAGAAGACCCGTGGCTAACAAAGATGGTTGTTTGGATGGGTTTCGAACTATTTGCTTTGACTTTTTTTTTTTATATGTACATTTTGATCGTGTTTGTAGGAGTGGGGAAGATGGTTGTAACGAGGTGATGATCGATGGTGGTGGTCGGTGGTGAAAGGAAGATGATGGGAGGTGTTAGTGGCTAGAAGAAGAAGGTATTCAATTTTTTTTATTTTTTTATTTTTGGGTCAAGCATGAGGATGAGGGTGGAGGTGATTCTAATGATGATGATGATAATGATGTTAGTGATGGGGATGAAAATGATATGACTCTTTTTTTCTCTTGATTTATGAATTTCTTTCGAGTAATCTATAAGTTTTGGTGGTTTAAAATGTTTGGTTATTACTTAAAATGTAAAAGAATGATTTGAGAATTAAGGGATTTGATTTAAGATTTTGGAATTCTGTTTGGAGATTAAAACGTTTGGAGATTCCGTTAGGTTTGGACAAAATGGAAAACAAAAAATGAGTTAGACAATTGAAATGGAGTCGGGGAAATGTGGTCTAAATATTAGTTTAATAATAAAAATAATTTTATTTTATTTTTTTAATTTTGGACATATATAGTTAGAGTTGAGATCCCTTATGTTAATGTCTATCCATGATTGGTTATTGTTAATTTTAATATGCCACATCGGATGAACAATTAACGGAGGTTCTAAATTAATAAATTTGTAAGAATAAAGAGTTTGAATCAATTTAAAAATTTATAGAGGATCTCAATAAAAAAAAATTCAAAAAGTACATGGTTTGAATATGGGGTAATCCCAATAATATCTATATATATATAGTGATTTAATGTGTTGATGAAGAATCATCTCCTTAAGCACCTAATTAAGCCATGTTGTTGTTATTTAAATAGCTCAAAACCTATAAATCCAACAAACCAATCCACCATTCTACCATTAACAACCTCGAACAAATTAAAGCAACCACCAACAACCCTACAAATTAAAGGATGAAACCCAACTACTATTTTAATTTTTAACGACCTAAAGACACAACTTGAATCATCGCCAACTTTCTCTATCAACATCTAAAATATATTCAACCTAAGCTACCACCAAGACAACCTTAGCTAGCACGATCACCACTAGGAGTGTTCACCATTGGATTTTAACTAAAAAACTGAATCGAACCAAATGAAAATATCAATTTTGATTATTTTTAAAAAATATATAATTTTTTTAAATCAAACTAAAATTATTTTGGTTTTTCAAGCTCGGTTTGTGTTTAAAATTTTTTGGAATTGATAAAAAACCAAAAAAACTAATATATATATTGATTTTTAAAATTCTAAGAATTAAAAAAAAAAACCTTAAACTATTATTATGCATTTGCTAAACCGTCACCTCTCGACCCTTCCTCCTCCCCGATCTCAAGCTCTCAATCTCTTACTATCAAACG